TGTGTTCTGAGGTTTAAGGGCTATTCTTGCTGTTTGTGAAAGGCTTAGTATGCATGATCTTTTGTTATTAAATCTTTAGATGGATTATATCCAAGTGACACAGTAGTTTTTATGTTTTTGTTTCAGCCATTTACAAACACCAAATGTTCCAGTTGAAGATAAGCGTCTGATTGTCAGCGTTCCTTCAGCCCTGCACTCCCAGAAACCATCACTGTCAGGTAAATTTTGGTGCAGTGTTTTTACTGCACCACTAGAGGACAATGCTGTAGCACAAATAAAATCTACTTATATCCTTCCTTTAGAAGCATTGGATCTAACTCTGGAGTCTGTTGGCCTTGAGGAAAACTGACATTTTGATTTTATTCTCAATAATGTGAGCAGATAAATGAAACATTTTTGATTATGGTGTGACCTCTATTTGGGAATAATACTTAATGTAAACCATATATAAAAGATCTGTGGTTCATGCAGAGGTTTTCTTTGTTAATGTGGTTATTAGTTGCAGACTGGAGAAGATAGGTTTCTTTATTTTCCATATTTACAACCATGAAACCAAAATATATATAACTTAAAATTAAAAGTAAAATTTTAAAGCACGCATGTAAGATTTTTCCCAAATGCTCCATCTTTATTACCCCGTTTGCTTAGAACCTGTGTAAGACCTTGGCCATGCATATGCAGGGACTAAGAATAAGTAAGGCTTGACGTCAGCTCATTCCCTCTCAGGGGAACACAATTTATGGTGCAGTAAGGAGGGTGAAACATGGCCGCTGTTTGCTGGTGCCCTTTCAGTGGCACAAAAAGCTTGCCTCCTGTAGAGCAAGTGGGAGATTATTAACATACATTGATTTGAATCATAATGATGCCTCCTTTGAGCTGGGACACTATAGAGATTTGACAGATTAGGAAAAAATTGCGCCTTGTCTCCATGTGTGACTCTATGTGCGTCTCATAAGGTTTCTTTTATAGCTGGTTTGATTATTCCACTTGATTCATTGTTGCAGATTGGGAAGATTTTCTTACAAAAATCGACCTTAATTATGCTGCCTTGGACAATATCCAGTGATTCGGCAGAAATGCTTTCCTTTTTAGTTTGGGTAATTTTTCTTATATTTAATGCATTTGTTGCAATAAAGCTCTAGTAGATGTGTCTCACTTCTTTTTATGTTGAAACAATATAAAGATCCTTATAAGTGTATAATTTGTTTATAATAATCAAAGAATAGCACCTCTTTACTATTTTTAAACCACAAATCTTGACTTTTGAACTCATATTTATAATTTCCCATTTTCTCTGGTATTTACATTTCTTTGGTAGAGATATGTAAAACCCAATTAATTTTATTTTTTTTGCAGCTGTATAATCTCACCCTGAAAAGCCCAACCTTTTATGTGCACTTATTTACCTATTGGAAGAAAAGAAAAAACTCTTATGTTAAAAAAAAAAAGAAGAATTTAATTAAATAAGCTATGACACCATTAAAAAGGTTTACCTACCTTTTACAACTCCTTTTTGTCAATATGAGAGCAGAGCACTCAATCTTTGGTAATAATTTACAAGATCAGAGCAAACAATAAAAAGGATATTTGACCAGTTCTCCTTTCAAAATCTTCCGCTATCATATAGTGTCCTGGGTTTTCTCTTATGCTTTATTGCTTAGCCCGTAAAACAAATGAGAACCAAGATGGCCGCTGAATAAAGTCGATGTTTGGTCTGGAATGGTTATCCCTTTTTATTTGACTGTATGTCCTGATTGTTTTTCAACTGAAACATTCACTCTTAGCCAACTTTTAGTTGTCTGACAGAAGCATCCGGCTCATGACCTTAAATCTGCTATTTCAAATAGATCATAATAGTATATACTCTGATAATGTTCTCTGGGTCTTTGGATGACAAACAGGCCCACAGCATCATAGATCCTCCAACATAAATAGCAGAATCAATAAAATGTCTTCTGGCCATTTGGCGCTGAACCTCCAGCGAGCCCAAGGTGCCAGATAAAAGCAAAAAAGCTTCACGTCTGTTTATGGAGGTAGAACAGAATAGGTTTTTTTTTTCTCCTGACATCCTTCTTAAACATGTTTTAAATATAGACTATGTGTAATAGTTACAATGAAACACTAAGATGCTACTGTTTTTGGAGTTTTTAATGGCACTGGTTTCTACTACTTTCGACGGTAGGCTGACAGGAAAGGGGGTATGAGAGAGGGGGAGAGATGCGGCAAAGGACCAAAGGTCGGATTTGATCCCGGGTTGCCCATGTCAAGGACTAAGGCGTCCGTTCATGGGTTGTGCACGCTTACCACTGCGCCACCTGCATGCCCAAGATGCAACTGTTTTTAAGTTCTACAATGTGTGTAGCAGCTAAATAAAGTTGTTTAGCCAAATTTGTCGCATTTCTAGCTTTTTCTTTTACTTTAAATATTGTTCTAATGCTAGCTGTAGGCGACTTTAGGGTTACATTTATTGTGCTGCTTTTATTTTTTATTCATTTTTTGTGTAGAGTGAATGCATCCTCATGCATCTTGTAACACCAGAGCCTGGTTATGATCTGCACTGACATTTGATTTTTAGATTGTAATCAATATAAAATAAATATGTCAAAGTTTTATATGTAGATTTATTTAGTCAAACCTGAAAAGTGAAAATAAACAAAAAAAAAAGATCATTAAGACTTTACTTGTTTAGAAAAAACAACACATTTCTTTTGTGTGCAACATTGTCCAGAGGTTATGATGTGCCACCCCATTTTAAACTTCAAATAATTAAACCTTCTCTCTCTTTTCAAGTTGAGAGCTGAGTCACAAGGTGAGGACGAGTTAGTCACTGAGCTGCATGTTTGGCCTTTCCACTCTGGGGCTTTGTGTCTGTGACGGACAGAGAGAGAAAAAAAAAAAAAGAAGTAAGGTTATTCAGCACATTGTATAGGTTAGATGGATTTTCGGAGCAGACTTTTGAGCTCATTAACTCCCTGAGTGTTGGCTGAGTTAGTGTCAGAGTAACAGAGAGTAGCAGAGGAAGTGAAACGTATCTGTCAGGTGTTCCTCTCCTGCAATATTAGCACTTATAAAGCCAAGGTCACTGGCAGACTCCTCACAGAGAGGGAAAAAACCTGTTCAGCGGTGCGAAGGAGGTCTGCAGCTGACACTTCTGTCTTCCGCCTATTACAAGGTAACAACTGAGGAGCTCTCATATGAGATTCGTGCAGCCCAGTGATGTGAAACCCAGATTTATTGATTTTTTTTTGACTCTCTTAAGTTTTGGTATGCATTTCCAGCTATCCTAGTTCATTTGTCTGTATGAAAAAAAGAACATTTCCATGAGGTTAGGCTTTTTTCGTCTTTTTAAACCCTCATTATTTTGTAGACAAATGTACATCTGCTACAGTATGCATAAGAAGAGATTCCTGGAAAATCATTGACCTAAGGCAACATTTAAATGCAAGAAAGATATGCTGATTTCTTTCTGGCTATTTGGTCTCACAGCAGAGTATCCTATTCTCAGTTGTACTTTAGTGTTAGAGTAAGCAACTGAATAACTATTTTCCCCTCTTGTTTGTATCTATCTATCTATCTATCTAT